TATTATTTTTATAAAAAAATTATATTATTAAACCAAATATAAATTACTTTGTTATTGTACATAAATTAAATTATAAAAAAATTGAATTAAAAAATTACACAAAAAAATGAGGAATTTCAAATAGTTAATTTGATATTAATATCGATATTTTTTTGTCAAATTTTTATGATATCTTCAAACATATATTTTATTCAAAAATAAAAACTTCATAACTTTCTCAAAATCACATAAAACCATATTATAACATCAGATGAGATAAAGAATAAAATGAAATATTAAAATCACGATGTATATCGCTGTATTACGCGAATACGCTTCTAGTATATATATATATATATATATATATATATATATATGTTGATTAGTCAAGAAGTGTGTATGATTGAAAAGGAGTTAATGTTAATTATGTATTTTCTTCAAAAAGATATATTAATTATGTAATTAATCATAATTAAAATGTATTATATATTTAAATTAAATTCTGGACCACCAAAAACCTGTATTAAGTCAAACCAAGATTCCATTTGCCGGCTCCTAAATATTTAAATGCCCAAAAAAGTATTTTTTTTAATCATAATTATTTTGATAATTACATATGCTTTTTGGAGATCGTTTACCAAGCACTTACTTGGTAAGTGATTATCGGTAAAATTTTACACTATCATTTTCTTACCGGGTAAGATTTTAATTAGTTCACTAAAATGACATCGTACGCAACAATTTACTTGGCGCTCTTACCCGGTAAATTTTTTGATTTTTATCATATTCATTCGGTAAGGTAATGTGACTTGGTAAGCGCTTATCCGGATAAGCGTTTGGTAAATGGCCCTTACTTTTTTAAATAATCATGGGATTTATAATTAATTTATTTTTTCAATTAAAATATGAATATATTAATTGAAATGGATGGATAGGAGAAAAATAAAGGTGCAATGCACCTGCATGATGGCTTTTATAATTGTAATTAATAATTTTATATATTTATTTATTTTGTGTAAAGTAAATAAACTGGGTTTATTATTATATGGTTCTGGACCACTTCCAATGTATCCATTTGTATGCCAAGTTGATGTTTCATTTCACGTGCTTCAATTCTTCTGCTTTTTTTTTAATCTTATATTACATGTGATTGAGATTTCGATAGCCTTGACTGCGATTTACATCATGAGTCAAGTTGTGTGCACACTCTTGGTTTTGATTTTAATTGCATATAATACGTAGACGTTCTCGTGTTTTCTTACATTGATCATTGTTCTCGTTTAAACCCCCCTCTCGCTCTCTCTCTACACACAGACACACACACACACACACACATATATATATATATATATATA